CTGTGATCATTAACTACTAATTCAAAGTCTTTGCCGCGTAGATGTAATTATTTAATTTGTACCCAATGGCTTAGACAATATGGGATACTTCCACATATTAAATTCTCCTCTGGGGATATTTCTCCTCAGAACTATCATATTTGACACCTGAATCAGTCCAACCACCCATTTTAACTGATACTACTGCTGAGTTGACTATGCTATCATGCTGAATGCACCCAGTTAGTAAATTTGGGGGCTGTAAGAATCTAATTCTGTTCCTTTTGCTGATTTTCAGTGTGTCGGTCAATACATAAGTTTGCTTCTTTCTGCCGCAATTTCCTAACCAGAAAATTTTGAATGACAGTACTGAGCCACCTCAGAAGACTTGTGAGTAAAAATAATCCCCTTCATCCTTCAAAAGGAACAAAACTACTTCCAAGTATTTAATATTGTTAAATACTCACATTAAAATATGAGAAGTCATTTATGGATAAAATAAGTAAAATGTACCATGAGGTAAATACCACATAAAGAAAATTTTAAACATATTTTTAGTTTAAAAAGTAAGATATATACACAGCAAAACAACATTGAAAATTTAAAAAGATAGACAATGGGCAATATGTCCTCCACCTAAGATCCTAGGCTAAGATCCAGGGAATAAATCAGTTTTAAGAATATCCTGAATATCTTCATTGAAGATATGTATATTTAGGAATAATTTATGAGCCTGTCAACAGTTAATTACTTACATGTCATTTTTAATTATTAATAGACCATATTTTCTACAACAGTTTTAGGTTTACCGAAAAATTAAGTGGAAGGTAGAGAGATTTCTCACATACCCCATGTCCCCACCCATGCATAACCTCCGTTGCTAACATCCTGCACCAGAGTGGTACATTTGTTACAACTGATGAACCTACGTGGACACATCATTATCACCCAGAGTCCATGGTTTGCATTAGGGTTCACTCTTGGTGCTATATATTCCATGGTTTGGTTAAGTGTATAATGACATGTATCTACCATTATGGCGTACTGCTTAGTAGTTTCACTGCCCTAAAATTCACTCACACACAGTTTCTTAAACCAAATTTGTCCAGTTTTTATGAGGCTGCTGTTTAGTGAATGTTAAGGTAAGCATCGATAATGAAGCTATTTTCTTAACTTTTGCTTTTGCTGAGAGACTCCCAGGCCTGTCCTCTACCTACTGGAGCAAGAAGATTTGATGGTTGTGGCTGCTGGTCCATAACTCCCCCATGAGTCAGCAGCGCTACACTTCCATGTCTACCTCATGACTTGTTTACTAGCAAATTAAACAGGCTACAATTCACATAAGTTGCTCTCACTGGGAAAGAAGTGAAGAAGAAAGCAAGAAGGCCTAAGAGAGAACTCAGCTCCATTGCTCAACCCAACAATTGGCACATCAACCCATCCTCCTCTTCCTCCCAAGCCTTGATAAAATTCCCACTTCTAATAGCTAGGCTATAAGTGTATGCTAAGCTCTAGTTATTTAGACAGACATAATTCCTGCTGTCTGGGAATTTATAATCTAAAGGAGGACTGCCTTTGAAAAGCAATCCACTTGGTACTGGGTGACATATCACAGTAATCACAAACTAGCAAACATGTCACAGGAATGCCCACATATTTATACTTAAAGTATATAACATTCATTCACAAAACCTGAGCAGAGAGTGAGGATAAAAGGGACTATCACCAGCCCAGTTACCTTCAAATGCCAACACTAGAAATTAGAAACTCCGATCTTAGGCCCTCGAGTTATTAGATCTGGCTCCGTCAGTCAAAAACAACATTACACTTCACACCTTATCTTATAGTTTCTTGCGGCCTTAAAAAGAAAATCTCACTCTCCAGGGCCTGAAATTACAGACGCTGAAGATTTTAACATTGTTCTGAGCAGTTAGACAACTTAAAATGAAACATTTACTTTGTCATGTGAATCCAAATATTTTCTTGCCTTTCAGGGAAATGTCACAAGAAGGTGAATCTTTTCTGGCTTAGTCTAATTGTGAAAGCAATGACAGTGCCCAAGAAATAATATCTCTTCCAACACCCTAAGGGCAAAATTATCCTCGTCGCTCTACACTGCATATCTCTTTTACAGAGAGTTTCAGTTCTTGTTCTTCAGCATAATGTTTGCAAACAGCAACTTATTATTCAGCAGATGAGAAGAAATGGGAAAGCTACCAAAAAAAAGTAATAATTTAAGACATTAAGTAATGTGAAAAGACTAATTAGAAGTGTGACTTGCCCATCATTTTCCCTAAGAACTTCCACATGAGACTTCTTTCTCCTAGGTTTCAAAAATAAATGTGGTACAGATGATAAACAGGCTTTAGAGTTATTTATCTAAACTGAACACCTGAGAATGTAATAGTGACCTTAATGTAATCAACAAAAAACCAGAGGACAGGTCCAGCGGCCTCTCTTCTGGAGAGTAGCGTTTGTGGAGAGTTTGTGGAGAGTAGCGATTGTGGAGAGTAGCAATTGTGGAGTTTCCACTGAACTAGTTGCCTTGTTTTTAAAATTGGCACTCAAACAAGTAAACTTCTCCCACCTGGAAATGCCCCTCCTAGACACCTCCCCAGTACTGCCTCGACTTCCTGGAACACTCCCTCTCACTCTGGCTGAGCACACGGGTGTAACCTTCTCATCTTAATGTCTCAGCTCAGATATCACCGCCTCAGGGAGCCCTTCTCAGATCTTCCTGTGAAAAGCAGTGTGATCTCAGCCACATCCAGTTTCCCTCCACCTTGCACTCTTCATTTCCTTCAGAGACCTTATTACTATCTGTGTTACCTGCACTATGTGTTTGTTTCTGGTCTCATCCACTCCTATGAGATGTAAGCTCTTAATGGGAATGAGTTCTGCTGTTTCACGCTGTTCTATCCTCAGTTCTGGGTGTAGAGTCTGTGGTATGTCATGGGTGAATAATACACATTTTCAGGGCGCCTGGGTGGCTCAGTCGTTAAGCGTCTGCCTTCGGCTCAGGTCATGATCCTGGGGGTCCTGGGATCGAGGCCCCCATCGGGCTCCCTGCTTGGTGGGAAGCCTGCTTCTCCCTCTCCCAATCCCCCTGCTTGTGTTCCCTCTCTCGCTGTGTCTCTCTCTGTCAAATAAATAAATAAAATCTTTAAAAAATAAAAAAAGAATAATACACATTTTCTTAATCAGTGAATGAAGGAATGAATGGCTGAATGGATAGACGGATGGAAAATACTGGTGAGAAATATTGCATAGGGATTCAGGGTAAACCATTTGAAGTCATGGAGAATTGGGTATTACTCTATTTGCCAGGGGGTCATCATAACTGTGCTGAACCTTTCTGAACCTTCTGTTTTCTTGCCTGTAAAATAGGAGTATTTAGATTTTTCTCATAGCTATAAAGATTAACTGCAGTAATTTATGTAAGTAAGATTCATTTCACATATAAACCTAATAGTAACTGCTTAATAAATAAAGGATATCATGTTAATACTCCATATATAAAGCTAGCCTGTAATCAGATAGGCAATTCTGCCTGATCAAATATGAAAAAAAATCACAAAGTACTTTTAGATCTAGTTGTCAAGTCACCTTATAAGGAGAAGGAAAACTATAATAGACTGGACTTTTTGCCCTTTAAAAAAATCTGGATTTGGCAGGGGCATTAAGCTTGAAATTGCATTGCTAACTGGCATGTCTTAGCTTTATCTATGCTTCCTTGAAGGGGGAAAAAAGACAGGAAGAGAGAGGAGATCACGCAAGCTGACACATTATGGAAGCGAAAAAGACAGCTCTGACACTTACTAGTTAAAATATCACACAACTAGATGCTATTTTAATTTTATCTTCATAAAATGCAGAAGCTTTATTGCTTATTTCTCTTACTAAACTTTCAGAATATACTTTATTCTAGTGCTATTTAAGCTTCTAAGTACATTTGGACAGTATATATGCATTTAAAAATATATGTGGAGAGAGCCAATTCATTATAGGACATGAGGAGTTCTGCATTATTTCTCATTGGTGCAAAACTAATTGGCTTTTCCCAGTCATTGCACAAATATTTATTTTTCCATTTTATCAGCCTTATAATTGCAGCTGAAATTAGAAGAGGGCATAACCACCTGGCAAGTTTTTTGCATTTCTGAGCATCCTAGCCACATTGGTTTCCCAAGCCTTAAGAGCCATTGCTGGGAGAGGTCCCCTACTCTCCACAATGCTACCCATTGATGTGACCGGTTTCTCATGCACATCTCCATTCATAACAACATTTGGTGAATTTTTTCCTTGAGCTGAAAAGAAATTCCTAAATATTCATGTTTCCAAAGGCTCCAGAAGTAGGAATGAAAATTGGTGGTATAAACTCCTGGTTCCTCCACTGACCACACTGGACACACACATATCTGAGCTGGTGTCTCTTCAGGTGAAGTGAAGAAGGAACAATGCAAAAAGTATGAGAGAATGGAAAAATTAAAAAGAACTGAAACCCATAACACAAAGTTACATTTCCAGTTTTGAGGACTAGATTCAAATAATCTCAATAAATGTAACAAAGACCTTTCTTAAACACCCAGATTTCTTATCTGCTAAAAATCCTACATATATGCTGATATAACCAACTGGGGGATCTCCTGGCCCCTGAGGTACTTGGCCTATAGAAATCCAAAGTCTTCCCTTTATTTTGGCAGTTTTTTTGAGGAACATAAAGGATGAAAGGAGTAGGAAGATGTCTGACTCCAGCTTCTCCTTTCATGTCAACTATCTTCACTTAGTAACATATTAAACCAGAAAAGACTCTCCTCCATTTTTTCACAGAAAAAAATCTATGCACACAGTGCATTAATGAACATAGAAGATTTACCGAAGATGGAGGCCAGAGGTGAAGGAGGAAGTTAAATTGCATCCATGTGAAATTACGTGATGGGACCATAGGCGTCAGCATTCCAAAAAGATACTTCATTCCCTGTACTAATGGGTTTAAAGGTTTTCACCTATCTTTCACTCACCTGGTCTCAGTCTGCCCATCTTGCTGAGTTCTGTCACTTCGTTCTTTTTCTGTTCTTTTCTCTTCTTCCTCTTGGAATCAGAGCAAATGCTTAAACCTATCACCTTCAGAGTAATTTGAGGATAATCTTCTGTTGCCAGATTATGTAGTTCTCTATCCTCACATTAAAACATTTATCAAGATATTTTCCCAAATGAGAAGAATTCTCTCACTAAAAGGAATTTTGATGCTACAATTTCAGTCTCTTGATCTTCTTTTTCCTCATTTCATGAAATAGTACTATATACGTGACAATCTTTCCTGCCATTCATTGATTTTCAATTGTCCTCTCTTTCTGGACAAAGGGGAGGATTTCTCTGCCTTCTTGAAATTGCATGCAGTCATGTTGCCTATTACCAGTGGGTTAAGGGGGAAAGTCACATTAGTTATTTCCTGGTAATTTGATTTGTAATCTGAGGAGAAACATGTTGCTTCGTTGCTGTAAACATCTGAGACCTGTGGCTTGTTTGTTTCTATAGCATAATCTAGCTTCTTCTGTCTAACACAGTTCTTATCGCAAAGGTCTGACACAACCCTTTGCTCCCTATGGCAAAAGATTGCATTCCCCTAGTGTAGGTTTTACTATCAGGGAATGAGCACCTAAGACAGGTTCTACCCTTTGACAAAGTTCTCTGTGAGTCTCAAAGCCTGGAAAGGCTCCATTTTTGGAGAATTTGCCCATCCCTTCCTCTCCCCAGCTTTGCCTCTGCTTGGACATTGTCTATCGAGGTCCTGGCAAATGAAACTAAACAGGCACTTGCTTCCCAATTGCAAACAAAAAGATGATAGATGGGAGGTTCCCCCCAGCAAGTCAATCTATTGGTTGTATTAGCTAATACCTACTGCTGGTTCTTTGTTCAATTTCTTCATCAATAGTTTACTATCTTCAGTGTCCTTTTTGTGGTTCATACTGCCACATCTGAGAATGAATTGAGAAATTAAAATAAGCAACTACCTTGTGTGTGAAGTACATTAAGGATGACTTGTTGTGTTCTGAAATTAGAATGTGATGAAATTTCACAACTGTAAATTTACTAAAAATCCTTGAGGTGTACACATAAAACAAGTGAATTTTATGTTAGGTAAATAATACCTTAAAATGCCATTCAAAATGACCAAGTGAAATGGGTGATTGCTTTAAATAAAGCATAAATTCAAAAGTCAACTATTGCCTTATGTTATGAAATTTTCATATTACTCTGCACACAAAAAAATACCACAGACTTTCATTTCAGCATTTCAGGAAGTATGATGGTGCCCTCAGGGTATTAATGGCTAATAACAGAATTAGTTCAGGTTTCCAATCAATATTACATTTAAAGGTTCCATTGTGTTAGTTTAATATTGATAGCCTGTTTATGTAAATGCCATCATTTAGTGTCATTCTGATGTCTGTTTATGCATTGCATAAAATCAGGTAGATCACATATTTAAAACATGAAGGCATCTGATCAGGGGAGTAGACCTTTAGTCTCTGTGTCATCTGAGTAAATGGGAAGGTTTAAGTGTTGGCACATTCTATCAGTTGTCATGTATTAAAACTTAGGTCCACGAAAGGCTGGTTAATTCCCAGTGGTAAGGAATAAATAGTGAAGGTGGAGGAGATGGAGCCTGGCCTGAGGTACACCCTTTAAAGTGAGACTGAAGATGGAGAAACTTCATATTAATTCATTCAACAAATAAATGTGTGGTGCATGCCTACTCTGTGCCAAGCAGTGTGCTCAGTACTGATGCTGCAATGGTAACTGAGTCTAACAGGTTCCTCTCCTAAGGAGTGTATATTCTAATGGTCAAGAGGAAAGCCCAATTCAATGTCAGAGCCCTTGAAGGGGAATGGGGACTGGGGTCCTCTGTGGAATAAAGGGAGAGTATGGTCATCAACAAGGATGCTGAGGACACTGCAAGGCTCTGTGGTCCTCACTTGTGGAAAAGGAGACTCGGGCCTCAGTGAGGGGTCAGGCAGCTCAGGGGTTCTTCAGTGGACACCCAGAGCTCAAATGTTGTGTGGAAGCTAATACTAAGTCTTATTAAATGAGAGTATGAGAATGTTTAAAATTGCCTGCCTCCACTATGGGTTCATCTGGGGTCCACAATGGACATCTGTCCTCAGATGAAGAGTTCTTGTAGGCAGTGAGCCTGGCTATTAGAAACCGCAGTGGGTACAGTTGAGGAGAGGCTGTAGGACAGTGGTTGAGGGGACCCTGGGAGCTTCCTCTTTGACTAAGGTGGGAGTGGCAAATGGGCAGGGAGCCTTTAGCAAGCAGAGCCCTGGCATTGGCCAGGCATCTCCTTTTCTTTCGCCTTTACAAACTGCGTTTGAATGCCAGTTCTGCCATTTAGGAGCTAGGCAACTGGGCCTGTAGTTTAATTAGTTTTCTTATCTGTAAAAGGTCCATGATTGGGCTGGTATCTAAGTTATTGCATTGCCGTGATGATTAAAAGAGATAAAGTGTGAACAGCACTTGGAAGACTGCCCACCTTTCCTCAAACTCAAGATATGTTACCTACTATTCAAGGATGCAAGGGCCTAAACTCTGCAGCTGTAAATAGGTCTTTTAATCTCATTTTCCCACAAAGGATCCAACCATAAACCAATGAGGATGAGTCTACAGGCCATACAAAAGCCAATCTTACCACTTCTTCTAAAACTTGGTTACTAGAAAGTAATTAGCTTGACTATAAACACCCAATAAAGCAGCATTAGATGTAAATGACCACTTTTTAATACCCTGGTTTCTATTTCTGTAGAAGTCCACATACCAGAGACAATACTGTAGGAGCACTTTATATTTTATATTAATATAATATTGCACCTTCCCAGTATTGTAGCTTGCATCACCTCTCAAGATGCTAGGCTTCCCGAGAGCACTTTAGACAGGGGCTGTACATGGTATTAACCATGCAGAATGGAACTTAGGCTTAATGAGCACCCTTGTGACCACGTGAGGTGATGCAGGAGTGGGGAGCAGAGAGGGTTGCAGTACAGAGGAAGGAAGGATGGCTGAATGCATGGTCAGAGAGTAGGATAATTCTCAAGAGAATGTATTCTTCTCACACGCCCCTTAGCTTCCTCTTTGACTAAGGTGGGAGTGGCAAATGGGGAGGGAGACTTTAGCAAGCAGAGCCCTGGCATTGGCAGGCATCTCCTTTTCTTTTGCCTTTACAAACTCAATCTGAGCTACAAAGACAGGAACGAGGCAACTCTTCCAAAACACTGTAGCCCAGGGTTGGTCTCAGATGTCTCCCTAACACTAAGTGGCTGAACTACAGGTGGTAGAGACAACAGCAAAAGCTGTGAATTTCTTTGTGAGCAGGATAGAACTCTGAGACTGTTGTTTAGACCTCAGCCCACCATTGCTGGTCCCCCAGTTTACCAGCTCCACATTCAGCTTCTCTTAGCCTGTCAGCAGAGCCTGCCTGGAACCTGGTCCAGAGCCCTCTTACTGATACAGGTAATGAAAACTTGGACTGTCCGTTCCAAATTAGGAGTTCCTTGGCCTGGAAGCCACACAAAAGGGGACTGCCATATTTGATTTCTATCAACTCTGACTCCCCGAGGACATTAGGCCTCTGTCAGAGGCTCAGAGCCATTTGCCTTTTCCCAATACCACATCTTGGAGTGAGCTTCAACTTTTAGTGAATTATTTGCACGATTTTCTTTCCATACATTCACCAAAATTTTGCTATCGCCTGACAGTAATGCAAAGATAAATGTCTCATATTATTGTTCAGGTGATAAAAGACCAGACTTATGAGTGGTTTTACACATTAAAAAAAAATTATATCTTTCAAATGTGGAGGTACAGGGAGAGAAGGAACTAGATATGTTTAGAGAAATTTTACACTTAGGATGGCTGATTTTTTTAACATATTTGTGCAAAAAATAAATAAATAAAAGGGGCCCACTATAAAATATTACTCTAAATCTACATTTGTTTTGAGCTGCTGTAGACTCAAGTTCTGAAAATATGACTTATCCAGTCTGGTAATGCATTAAGAATGTGCTGTGGTTTAAAAAAAATGAGCTATTGATCTTAGAAGATTTTAATTTAGATTATTTCCCTTAAAAGTGTAATAAATGGCAGGGCTCATGTTGAATCACTAAGACAGCAATTATTTTAAGAGTATCAGTCATCTCTGCTTCCATTTTAATCAAATCTCTTTATAGAGTTTTTAGACAGTATTTGAAATAACAGCATAACCTGTCAGTGGAAAGGTGTTTTGAGTTGTATGTCAAAAGTTGAAGAGAAATTAGAAAGACAACTCTTAGTTTTAAAAGACTAATAATGACAGATGGGCAGTTGCTTTTATTTTATTTGTGAGCAACTGTTGTTTTGTAAGGCTTTTTTTTTTTTTTTTTGAGAGTGAGAGAGAGAGAGGAATGGTAGAGTATCAACTAGAAAAATAACCCAGACTCTTTCTGAGTTAAATTTGCAAGGACCAAAAGTCTTTGAAAAGTTAGGTTAAGAGCAATTACATAATTTTGATGACCTCTAGGCAATGAATTCTTGGTCATGTTCATAAGAAAAAGGCAAATATAATAAAAAGTGAAAAGATGAGACAGACTCTGATGTTAGCATTAACTTGCAGTTTTACCTTGGGAGCCAAATATTTAGTCTGAAAGGCCTTTACCTCTGACATTTTCAGGTTTCAATGAAGATTTCTTTCAGGCCTTCGTCTCTGGAGCTGAGACCATGAGCCCTCCCTTAATCCTATAAAATTCATTTAAGAGTCATCTTTCCTGACATCTGTACATAAAGCAATATAAAACATTATAATATAAATTACATCTGAGGGATTCATCTGAAATTCTATTTCACTGTTTAATAATTAAAAGTTGAAAACCTCTCTGTAGCTTTATAGCACTCTCTAACAAGAATAAATTTTCTTGATAAGGCCCCCTCATCCCAAACAGTGGATGCCGTTGGCATTTTCTGACAGATGAGTTTAGTGATTAATAAATCCTATCCTCTGGGATGTGACTCCATGGTTGAAGCTCTTACTAAGATGATGTTACATACTCAGTTCCTAAATTATCCACCCATTTACAAGTGTGTGAATTTAGCGTAAGTGTCTCCATTTTATTGTTCTTAAAATGGGGATGGGCAACAATGCCCACGACACAGGGTTGTCGCAAGGATTAAGTGAGTCAGTATGACTCAGTACGAACCTTGGCACACAGAGAACACCACCTGCGTTGGCTATTATTATTATTGTTTTTGTGTTGTTATTCAGAAGAACCTTTATGCTTCACAGAGATAAATTGTTTGGAGGAGAGAGCCTTCTAGAAGGATAAAAATGATGGTAGCTACAAATTATTTTCATTACTTGTTGAGTCTTATGCATTTCTAGAGCATCACAGCATTAATTTTCAAGAGCCTAAAAGCCACAAAGTAGTAGGGAAAGGGAGCAGTATTCTAAAACATTAGGATCGTAGGCAACACCGTATGTGTGGAGAAGAGCTACATGGGGTGGAATCAAGAGTTCTGAAGGGCTCTTGCCTCAACATTGGTCTCCTATATCCCTGACTTAGGCTTGAATTCACTCACCCACATCCGAACACTTTTTACTGGTGAAATCATTGCCCCTATTCTAAGGCACATACTTGGAGAATAGACATATTAGGTCACTATTTCCCAAGGACAACTGCGTGTAAACTAAGTCATCAGACTTTTCCAATTTCACTGTAACAGCTACGTGAGGAGAGATTTTGATGATGACAAGAAGAAAGAGAGTGACCTAGAGGACAGCCAGGCTACCCAACAGTGTGTGAGGTACTCTGGGAGTAGTGTGAAATTAATAATTTTAATTCTAAATTTTTATATAAAAATCAAAGCAAACTTGAAAATAATACCCATAATTATGCCACTCTTGCATTCTGGTATGTTTTTGGAGCACTAAAAAGAGTG